TGAGTTTTAAATATAAACTTTGAAGGTTTGCTTGTTTGCTCTCCTGTCAGATACAGTACAAAAGGAGGGAGAGAGAGGAAACATGCAAAAATCTAACTTAAGGGATATGCCCTTCTAAAACTGTGTTCGTTGGAGCATTGTGTCTTTAAGCATTGATTGGCAATGGCTGGCATTAATATGTACATGTGTTTTTTGTTGCATGCTAAACTATCATCCTCTTTGTAATATAAATTATGCTTGGATACTATCAGGAAGTCTTAGAGTTTCTCCCATTTAATATTAAGAAATGCCCCTACATGCTTTCACTTGGTCTGTCCCTCCTAAAGTTATGTTTATAGCACTGGGATTTATGGAGAGTTTTTTTCAAATTATTTCTATGTAAATAGTTCTGCATTTTATTCCATTTTTGTAAGTTGTGCATGTTATGTGTAGTAGCTATAATTCACGCCATTTCTAATATGATATATGTGATATTGAATATTTGTTAGAGTATACACGTTTGTACTAGGATCCCCCCGACCCTCGCAGGTGAAACTGAGTGTATATTGGAAACTGATTTACAAGTAAGAAGGTACGGCTGGCCAGGAAATGGGCCATGTCTGGGGAGATACGGGACACCCAGTTGCTGATCGTTGCATAAATGACCCGAGATGGATATAATGGAAATCCTCGGGCAGATATATGTGAATGCAGCGTTCCCAAATTCCCGTTAATTTCATCAAGGGATTCAACAAACTCCTGACACTGAATTGTTCTCCCTCATCACCGAAAAAGAAAATCTTATTAACATATGGACTCTGAATAGAAGAAAAGATTGATTGCTGAAACCTTGGCCTCAGGCAGAATTTTCCCTATAAAAACTGCTTGTGCCAGGATGGAGGTGTGTGGGTATGGAGGAAAACCCAGGGCCAACCCCAGGCTCGGCTCTGTTCTTTCCTTGTGGCTGGCGAGATAGAATTTGATTGCAACATAAATATTTTATTTTTTCATATTAATTTGGCTGGACAAATTTTCATTTATAACATGCAGGTCTAGATTTGCAATGTGAGCCTGAAAACAGAGGTTAATTGGTCTTAAATAGCCTGAACCCTCTTGCCTATGCCAGAGTGATACTCAGCCTTAAACTCCAATGCCTTGTTTCTACAAATAGGTACAAACTAACAAACTAACTACAAAATAATATAACTACACTAACTACAAACTAACTTTCAAAATAATATATAAACAAACAATACTTAGCTTTCACGCTGTGAAAAATATGCTGCCCCGCAAAGGAGTGTGATACAGAGCTCCTCATGCAAAATGCCAGCCAACTTGGTTCTATCACCCAGATTACCTGGAAAATTATGATCTGGACCATTACAGCCAAACACCAGCCTCACCCCAGGGCAGTGCCTGAGCTGGGGTTGTCCGCCCTTCAGGGCTGATGGGGAAACCCCCCATCCCCTTTCCCTTATTACAGCTTTAATCTGCTTCCTAAGTAGGACAAGCATAATTATGTTTCCCTAAGAACTGATAAGAAAGTCGTCCTAATTAACACTTATCACTGCTTCAAATGGCAGTGCAGGGGGAGGGAAAGATTATACATCTTAAGATTTCACAACTCCTTGTTTTGAGGTTAACAGTGATAAACACCTAACAAAAATTTAGCTGCAAGCTTATCCCCAGAAAAAATGCATTATTATGTTAGCTGTCATATACAATTTTGAGTATTTATTAGTGATTGTAGACAGACTTAAAACATGCATTATAGCAAATAAAAACTGTCACTCTAAAGAGTTGGACTTCAGGGTTCTTATGCGCTTCTATGTCATGTAGCCCTGACACCAAATGGACTTCTACCAAACCTCTGCTTCACTCAGGACGCAGCCCAGCCTCAGCCCGTCCCTCGGCCCAGGACGGGGCTAGGTGCCCGGGGCTGCCCCGGTGTCCCCATGCTCCACCCTGACCCACAGGTGTTATGTGTAGTAGATAAAATCGCGCGCATTTCTAGTAAGATATATGTGATATTGAATATTAGTTGGAGTATACACATTTGTATTAGGAGTCCCCCCCACCCTAGCAAGTGAAACTAAATTTCATCAAGGGATTCAACAACTCCAGACATCGAATTGTTCTACCTCGTAGCCAAGAAAAGAAATCTCATCAAACTATGGGACTCTGAATAGAAGGAAGGACTGATTGCCAAAATCCTGGCTTCAGGCAGAATTTTCCAAATAAAAACCGCTTGTACCTAAATGGTGCTGTGGGCATAGAGGAAAACCTCTGCTGAGGCTGACTTCTTTGTTGAACACCCAGTGCCGACCCCGGGCTCAGCACTGTTCTTTCCTTGTGGCTGGATAGATAGAATTTGATTGCAAAATAAATATTTTATTTTTTCATTTTAATTTGGCTGGACAAATTTTCATTTATAACACAGGGAACCAGGGAGTCACCAGCCCCTGGGGACTGCTGGAAGAGAGGTGTGCCTATTTTGAATATGTACAGTACGCAGGATGATGAATCAACTGAAATTAGCAGAGCATTTCAGGGATACTTTCTGTATGACCCAGAATAAGAAAAAGAGATAATTTTTTTAGATTTGCTAGCAACCTTCCCAAATGAATAGATAAATACCTTTTTTTCAGTATTTTTTTTAAGAATACTATAACCTTCAGGAAAACTTCCATATCTCTGAAGAACCACATGCCCAAGAAAGGAACAAGTGTATGCTTCCTTAGTTTTTAATTCTGTCCCTAGCAGATTCCATAAGCTTATTGTTTGATTTTAGTTGACATTATTTTGCTACAAAAAAACATTTTTTTTTTGCACACTTTTTTTTTCTTAACATAACTATACAGATCACTTGGATCATGCAACTTTTTGTACCTAATCCAATAGAAGTCCGTATTTGAGAAAAAGTATACCATATTCGTCATATTCATCAGTTAGAAAGACCGGGACTTTACATATAAACCAAGCCTCCCACCCGATAACAACAAAAAATTCAAGAGCTCAACAACAAAAATTAAAAAAATTCAAAGGGTTTATAGGAGAACAATTATTTTGCTTCAGTCTTCTTTTGCTTTATTTCACTTCAGTCTACTTTTGCTTTTAACATAATTAATTGTTCATTCTTTAAAACAGTCTCCTGAATGAATTACTTCATAGAGACAGTGGTACTTGAAAAGTCCCTTAATATTCTAACATTCCTAATGAGCAGAATTTTCTGCATTAACCTTACCCCATCGCTGGCTGGAAAATCTAAACTAAACTAGGCCAGGGCAAGACACATAGAGTTTGGCAGTCTTCAAATCTCTGGTGAACTGTCTCTGGGAGTGCAAATTACGATTCAATAGGGAGAGCAGGAGCTGCTGAAGCACAAGTCAGCATTTGTAAATGGTTCACCCTGGCAGCTGTCTGCTATCTGCACTCCAAAGAGTCCCTTTTAATGTACTAAAACCTATCCAATAGGAAATCTTTTTCCCTTTTCCTACCTTAACATTTAAATGCATTAGTCTTATCTGCTCTGCCCGCACAACTAGTTAGAATGGCGGTATATACACTTACCATAGCTGTATGTATGTTTAACTCATTCATCAACAAACAAGGGAAATACAAAAACAAATGTTCCAACAGGCACCTAGGAATCCATCTTTACAGCTTCCTTAACCATATTGTTGGATTGGTTCATACTGCTATTTCCTTTCTTTCTGTGCCATGATTTTTATCTCTCTCACATATACTGTGGATACATGTTAAAATAAAAATTAAAATTATGTTTTTTATATATTATGTACTCTCGGAAGGAAAAGTCCTTTTTTTTTTTTTTAGCTAGATTAAAAACTTAGCAGAGCCACAGTTCAATCAAGTTTAGTTAAAAAGACAGCGGACTATTGAAGACTAGAGTTAATAGTGAAAATATGAAAAGTGTCACTCTAGAGGAGTTGTAGAAGAAAAAATATGCGGATCTTAAGCAATATCAGTCAATTACTAAGTGGTATTTGATATTCATTAAAGAGGGAGGTAGCTCATAATATTTAACTGATGAATGATTAAAGTAACAATGAAGTGTTAGATTGAAATTTCTGTGATTGGAAAAACTTTTAACTGTGGGCAAACCAATTTACCATACAGTAAATTGAATGATCTATGGGGAAAATTAATTGGTTCAATGGCCATTATATAAGGGATTTCATTAATCTTTTTGTTCTTGGTTTTGTTCCGAATAAATACCTTATTTTTCTGACAAAGTCTGATATACCAAATAAAGAGACTGTCCTGCTATCTGTAACATAAATATTATGAAAAATAAGCAGGATTATTCTACCATTGCCTCTGCAGAGACACAGTCATTGTTAAACAGAAATGAACAATGTCTGTCATCTTGAAAATCATTGGCCACTGCAGATACTAAAATAAATTTTGTGTTTCTTTTGTATATCCCGCAAGTTACCTAAGAAACATATGTAGTTCTTTACAAGAAGGAATGACTGCAGAGTTTTGATTGTCATGGTTATTGTGTTTTCAGTACAACCGTCTCCTGGGAAATGGAAGAAGAGGTCCCTGGCTGTATCTGCCAAACTTCAATATATATTTACAGTATGCAGCATAACATAATTTGCAACAATAAATAAGAAAAAATAGAGGTGAAGATATTGTGCAAGATGTCAGAATGAAAAAGAAGTTTGAAGCTATACATCCTTTAATAGTGGGACGATAAAAGAACAAGCAATAAAACTGTGACTTCAGAAAATCCTGAATTTGATCTATCTTTAATGCCATCAAATCCTTTACTGGTCGTCTCAATGAGAATCAAAGTAAACAAATAATAAACACTTAGAGTATAGCCTGGTGACTAGCATGGAGAAAACACAGATCACCATGGATCAATTGTTCTCTGTCTTTTCTAATAAAAAATACTTAAATATCAAAATAAGTCATTTTATTTCAGGTTAAAAAAACCTAAAAAGTTATTATTTCTTCATACAATTAATAGCTAAGTTATATTTTTTCTACAGGATGCTGAAGAAGCAAATCTTTATGACTGGACAACATCACAGCAGAAAGCATATCAGGACTATTACGCACAAAAGCAACCACTTTCACTTCAAGCACTCACTCTCACCCCTGTTATAAATTGTGGAAGTCTGGTAGAATATTTCAGTAAAATATTATCAACTTATTGCCTGTATCTTTTATCATTCGGTATTATCACCCACTGTTCTTCCAGTATTTAGTATTTGTCAGTGCTGGAGAAAGAAGCCTGAGAAAGGAATTTCAGCCTGATTTATGTAACTGTCATATGCTTCTAAAAAGAAATAAATATGTGTACCTGGAGATGATGCCTTTCTCAAATGACATTTTTTTTTAAATCAAAAGTTATCACACATTTAGAAAAAAAGATATCTTCAAATTTAATTTTTTCTTTAGTGTGTTTGGACAACACAAAACACTAATTGATTTCTACTCAAATTACATTCAACCATATTCCTACAGATTGCAAACTGAGAATAAAAGACACTTTGTGTTTGTAGTCAGAAATAAGGAACTGCAATTTTACATGCCAATAATGTGATTATCTGCTTGAAGAATTAGGAAAAATAAAAAGGAAGACCTTATTCCGTCAGCTTCAAGACAATCTATTCTGGAATGCAATAGATTTCTCTGGCCTGGAGAAAAAAACTTTCCCTTTGATTTAAGGGTACCTATCACTAAAAAAAATTATTCCATTCCAGACATGTAGCAGTAATGTAATCAAAATGGCTAATGCCCTTGTAATGCACATCAAGTAATTCACTTGTTTTTACTTTATGATCCACAGTTTTGTCTGAAGAATTAAGCTGTCAAACCATTACCAACGAAGTATTTGGACTTGCAACATGGAGAATACCTTAGTTGTGCTCTTGTCAGGAGATGGAATTAATTGCAGTCTGGTACAGGGTCAGATCAATTTTGCTTTGAGAAGCTATACTGTGCTGATGTAATGATTGATAAATGACTAATTTCAGATTTCAACTAAGTTCTGCATAAAGATTTCAACTTCTCTGAATTTTCTGATTAATCAAATTGTTTTACTTTAAAATATTTCAGCAAAACAACATGAACAAAAACAATTATGAAAATCTTCTGAAGAAATACAGGCAGAAGAATATATCTAAGCTTGTCCTTGTTTCATGACAACTCAAGTGTCACACTACCAAAGAACTAAACTTAGTCAATTCTACTAAATAGAAGATGCCCAATCCATGACCCTGAAATCAAGTGGCAAGAACTGATTCCCATCCGTGCTTAAGGTGGTCTTGTGTAAGGCAAATTGCCCATGTGTGTCCTGAAAAGCACTCTGTCTTAAATCTCCCCTGGGTCCTTTGTGCTCTATTTGACAAAATTAGTATTCTTTTCTGGAAATGTGGGACATGAGGTTTTATGGGTTATTTGAGTATACAATGCTGTTGAGAGAGAGCTGGAGGGCTGCCTAAGGGAAAAAAAGCCAAGACTGGTGGCATTTTCTCAGCACCCGTCTGGGTGACCTGGGATCAAACTGCTGGGATGGAGACCTTGACAAACCTGCTCTGACTTACCAACTTGATATACTTTAGCCTTGGACTTGTCATGTCACTACAGATCTGTTCAGCTGTGTGGGCTGACACTGGCTAGATGTCAGACCCCCACCAAAGCTTCTCTATCTCTCTGCTCCTCAGCTGGACAGGGGGCAGAAAATATAATAATATATATAAAATATATGAGGGGTTGGTGAGTTGAGACAAGGGCAGGGAGAGATCACTTACCAAATACCATCATGGGCAAATCAGATTTCAAAGGTTTGTCCATAAATCACATCACATTTATAAATTTGTTACTCTCAATCATCATTCACAGAAACCATTGAATCAGTGTATAAAACCCCTATATTTGAAAGCATTGAATACTGAGTCAATATTCACTGAAGTCAACAGTGAAGAATTCCATAAACTTCTACAGATTTTGCTGGGAGCTTTAATGTAAAAATAAATTCTCACACACTTTGGCTGTGAAAATAGCCTTCATTCCTTAAATCAATAGATTTCTGTCTTGTTCACTCTGCAGTCAAGACAGACTGAACAAGGTAACACCTGCAGAAGTATAGATGTCTTTCATCTGGATAGGACTTTAACTTCAAGGTCAGTATTTGACTCTTTACATGGTTAGGGCCCAGTTTTCAGTTTGTAACAAAGTACAGAGATTTTGTAACCAAAATCACAGTTTAGTTTTTAGTAATTCCCGCATCAGCAGAGGTAAATCTGATACTGCCTCCTTCCCAAAGCAACTGCAGGGAACAAGAGTCTCACAAGCAGCATCCCAGGGAGCAGCTTTTGGCACAGCTCATGCTGCTCCTGCATTAGGGCCAGTCTGGCAGAGAGAGTCCGAGTTCCTCCAGCCTTTTTGCTGCACAGGTCTGACAAGGGAATTACAGCCTTGTCCCAGGCTTAACAAGACAATTTAACAAATAGATTCCAGATGGCCAAACCTGTATTTTTACACACATCTGACACCTGTGTGGGATGTTATGCAAACCCCCTTTGACCAGATAATAAAATGTTCTCTTTTTCTTTTCTTTTTTTTTGTTGTTGGTTTGTTTTTTTTTGTTGTTGTTGTTGTTTTACACAGTAAGGGAAGACTAAATCAAACTGAACTGCGTGATATTAATTTTGCCCTATGGTCTATGCAGTCCTTATGTCTCAGCCACAACCATCCAGTGATGGTTGTGATGGTTTTACAGTGTTAAAAACTCACTGACTTCTCATGGAAAATATTGACCAACATTCAATAGTGGCAAACAATATGTCCCCTCATGAATTATAATGACAAACAGTTTCCACTCTACACTGGTGGAAACATTGCTTATTACAATTTTGCTTATGCTTCAAAAACAATTTGGGACAAAAATCTTTTGTATAGATTTTCTTGTAAAAGAGGAGAGGCTATATCGACAAAGGTGAATATCTAATATTATTGGAAGACATATCTGAAAGCACTTAAAGTAGAAAACATTCGAGAAAATGAAATAAATGCAATAAAATGGTAGAGGGACCTTCTGAGAGCACTGTAAACTCAAATAATGCTGAGGTTGTCTCTTGGATTCCTAGTGGTTCAGGTAAGTATCTGAAGTGTGGTGCAGCACCTCCAAAATTAGTGTGCACTTATGCTGTATGAGTGCTTGGGCCCCATTTATTACCATTTTCCAGGACTATTTACATCTTGTGGATCTTAATTTTTTTAGGCACCACAAATTTACCTAAATTTCTATGGACCAGTGATGCAGATAGACTTCAGCAAATGATCCTGCCCTACAATGAAAAGCATTTACCCCCATATTGCTGTGCATAGATAAGTCAGTTTTGCTGAAAACTCTGAGAGATGCCAGAGGGATTGCTGTGGTAGAAAAAGCACTTGTACACTTAAAAATTTGAACAAGCTGAGATTTTAGATATAAAAAATCATATAAAATATTATGTCCCACAATAATAATAGTAGAACTCCTTTTTGCATAAATTTATGCTTCCAAGTAAAAGAAGGTAGTTTTCTTGAAAGAATTTCATACCAGAGTTTTGAAAAACTGTTTTGTCACTGTGTTGGATTGACCTTGGTCAATGGCCACACACACACGCAGCCAAAATATCGCTCTTTTTCAACAGGATAGGGGGAGAAAAGAGGATTAAAAAGTTCATTCTTTTGAGGCAAAGGCAGAGAGATCCTGTGTCAATTAGTATCATAGATAAAAATAGACTTGACCTGAGAAAATTAATTTAATTTCTTTAAAAGTAAAATAGATATGAATGGTGAATACAAAGAAAAATGCCCCCCACCCTTTATTGTCAGGCTTTACTTCACTCCTTTATCCCTGAGTCTCTGACCTTGTCCCATTCTGAGCAACACAAGGGGAAAGGGGGTTATGGTCAGCTCATAACAATTTCAGTCCTTTCTCACACTCCCTGCTCCAGTGAGGTCTCTGCACTGAGCTGCAGCTTCCTTCAGGGAATATCCATCTGCCACAGCTTGGGGTCCTGCACAGGCTGCAGTGGGGTATTCATCCTCATCCTCATCCTCCGTGGGCCTCAGGGTACAGCCTGCTTCCTTTCAGCCACTCCATGGGCTGCAGAAATGTCTCAGCTCTGGCACCTGAAACCCTTCCCTCCCTCTTTCTTTACTGACCCTGCTGTCTGTGGGATGAATTTTCACGCTTTTATTTTTTCCTCACTCCATTCTCTCACAGACTCTGCCATGAAGCATTTTGCCCTTTCTTCAGTGTGCTTCCTGAAGGCATCACCAGCAGCACTGCTGGAACTGCTGGCGGTGGCCAGCATGGAGCAGCCCCTGGCCTTTCCTCAGAGACCAGCACTGCCATTCCCCCTTGAATACCAACACCTGGACACCAATGTCCAATAAAAAAATCTAACACCTCCTTCCCAAAAAATGTAAAATAGTTCTAAATTAATGGTTTTTTTCTCTTTTTCAGTTAAAACTTCAGTTAAAAGCAGTGAGCTGCTTTTTTATCATGCTATAACTTCCTTTCTTGTATGTTAATGTTCAAGAGACTGCTTTTTTCTTTTCCCATTTGCCAAACGAAAAAGCAGATTCTTCTTCTGTGTGATTAAAAGAATCATAAAGTTATGGCTTAAACCCCTCAATGCATTCTATTCGGTATTCTGCAAATGTTTCTCATTAGCTCACTGGCTGAAGTAGCAAAGTGCATTAAAAGACTGGGATTTTTAGTGTTTTGTTTACTTAATTGGAGGTCAAAAACCCTTGGAACTGTAACAAACAGATATAGATGTAGGACATACCTATAAGGCACAAGTATATAGCTCATAGCCTTTAGAATATGTGTATGGAAAAATAAATAAAATGTATTTTTAGAAGAAAGAGCCATTAGAGGTTCTTAGAATTAAGGACTTTACTCTGGCCTAATCAGTAAATAACATAATTCTAATAGCACATAAGTGATTTTTTTCTAAGTAGAAGAATAATTAAAAGGTTAGGACTGAGCATAAAATAAGGATTACCTGCAGTTCTATTTATTTTTGTGACATTAATAACTCTAAAAGTGCCCCATTTTGTAGGACTTTACTCACATACACACTGTTTACCATTTATGCAATTAAGAAAATTAATTTCAGTAGAGAATAGCCCACAAAATAACTCTTCTCAGGAATGAAAAGGAGAAAATATCTTTACATAAGGAGAGATACTTTCTAATATCTAATGGAGAGACTAATGGAGGAAGTTTAAAAATTATGAATAAAAATTAATTAATCTTTCTGTCTCCTATGCTTGATGTTGCATTTCAGACTGA